TGTTTTGGCGTCCCGACTCCTCTCTCGCTCGCGGCGCGTTCGGCGAGTCCACGGCTGCGCCAGTAGACAGACTGATCGCCTCAGAGACTTGGGCATCTGAGAGACTGCGCGGAGGCGCTGGCGTTTTTCGGTTCACCCGCATGATTTGAAGGACTAGATCAGAGTCCCAGAAAAACTATGGACAGAAGTCCGAGACATTGTTCAGGAGGCGGCAACAAAGTACGTCCCAAAGAAAAAGAAAACCAAGAAGGCAAAATGGTTGTCTACTGAGACACTGGAAGTAGCCCAAGAAAGGAGGAAAGCAAAAGGAAACAGGGATAAGGGGAGATATGCCCAGTTAAATGCGCAATTCCAGAGGTTAGCCAGAAGAGATAAGGAACTATTTTTAAATAAGCAATGCATGGAAGTAGAAGAAGACAACAGAATAGGAAGGACAAGAGACCTCTTCCAGAAAATTAGAAACATTGGAGGTAAATTTCAGGCAAAAATTGGTATGATAAGAAACAAAGATGGCAGGGACCTAACAGAAGCTGAAGAGATCAAGAGAAGGTGGCGAGACTATACAGAAGATCTGCATAGGAAGGATAATAATATTGAGGATAGTTTTGACGGTGTGGTGAATGAATTAGAACCAGACATCCTGAGGAGTGAGGTTGAATGGGCCTTAAGAAGCATTGCTAACAACAAGGCAGCAGGAGACGACGGGATCCCAGCTGAACTGTTTAAAATCTTAAAAGATGATGCTGTCAAGGTGATGCATGCCATTTGCCAGCAAATATGGAAAACACAAGAATGGTCATCAGATTGGAAAAAATCAACTTATATCCCCATACCAAAAAAGGGAAATGCGAAAGACTGCTCATACTTTCCTACAGTGGCCCTTATTTCTCATGCCAGTAAGGTAATGCTCAAGATCCTGCAAGGAAGACTCCAGCAATACATGGAGCGAGAGTTGCCAGATGTTCAAGCTGGGTTTAGAAAAGGTAGAGGAACGAGAGACCAGATTGCCAACATCCGCTGGATAATGGAGAAAGGCAGGGAGTTTCAGAAAAACATCTACTTCTGCTTCATTGACTATTCTAAAGCCTTTGACTGTGTGGATCATAATAAATTGTGGCAAGTTCTTGGTGGGATGGGCATATCCAGCCACCTTGTCTCTCTCCTGAGAAATCTGTACAAGGACCAAGTAGCAACAGTAAGAACTGACCACGGAACAACAGACTGGTTCAAGATTGGGAAAGGCGTACGGCAGGGTTGTATCCTCTCACCCAACCTATTCAACTTGTATGCAGAACACATCATGCGATGTGCGGGGCTTGACGAATGCAAGGCTGGGGTGAAAATTGCTGGAAGAAATATTAACAACCTTAGATATGCAGATGACACCACTTTGATGGCCGAAAGCGAGGAGGAGCTGAGGAGCCTTCTAATCAAGGTGAAAGAAGAAAGCGCAAAAGCCGGGTTGCAGCTAAACGTCAAAAAAACCAAGATTATGGCAACAAGAATGATTGACAACTGGAAAATAGAGGGAGAAACCGTGGAGGCCGTGACAGACTTTGTATTTCTAGGTGCAAAGATTACTGCAGATGCAGACTGTAGCCAGGAAATCAGAAGACGCTTACTTCTTGGGAGGAGAGCAATGTCCAATCTCGATAAAATAGTAAAGAGTAGAGACATCAGAATGGCAACAAAGATCCGCCTAGTCAAGCCATGGTATTCCCTGTAGTAACCTACGGATGTGAGAGCTGGACCTTAGGGAAGGCTGAGCGAAGGAAGATCGATGCTTTTGAGCTGTGGTGTTGGAGGAAAGTTCTGAGAGTGCCTTGGACTGCGAGAAGATCCAACCAGTCCATCCTCCAGGAAATAAAGCCCGACTGCTCACTGGAGGGAAAGATACTAGAGACAAAGTGAAGTACTTTGGCCACATCATGAGAAGACAGGAAAGCTTGGAGAAGACAATGATGCTGGGGAAAATGGAAGGAAAAAGGAAGAGGGGCCGACCAAGGGCAAGATGGATGGATGGCATCCTTGAAGTGACTGGACTGACCTTGAGGGAGCTGGGGGTGGTAACGGCCGACAGGGAGCTCTGGCGTGGGCTGGCCCATGAGGTCACGAAGAGTCGGAGACGACTGAACGAATGAACAACAACACACACTTTGAACAATACTCTGCATGGACTTCAATGGACATGGGTGCCATGGATGCCCGACCCGCCATAATGGGTCAATCACTAACACAAAGGAACATTCAATAGAATGCATGGGACCTGATGGCCCTCTTTGTTTTGTCCCTAGGGTGGGACAATGGTAATCCACTCAGAACACTTTGCATTCCTTTGTCTCCTGGACTATCCTGCCCCGTCAACCACTGGAGAGTGGCAAACTGCATTCAAAGTGAGGAACTCTCTCTGATTGGCTGGTGTACGCCACAGTCCCGCCTCCCAGGGGGAGACCTCCTAGCTGGCCATGACATCAAAACCGGCTTCATCAATCAGTGCAAAGCTGGCTCCAGCTGGGGCGTGAGCAAGAAAAACAACGGATTTTACTGTATAAAACTGTATGCTTTGCCTATGTCAGGCATCTCAGCTTCCTTTAGCGGCTTGCCACAAGCTATCATCTTTTCCAAATGGATTGAAATAAAATACCTTGGTGGTGGCTTCTTCTTCAACTGGTGAGGTTTCTTGATTGGGGAACATTGGGCTTAGCTTCTTTGTCTCGCCAGGTGCATCAGCCCACTGCCAGTACTGACCATGCATTTAACAGGACTTGGTATCCGTGCTTTGGGTTTCGCTATCCGCAGCCCGGGTCTCACTATCCGTGGTTTGAAGCTCGATTTCACATCCCCATAACTGTTTTAACTGTGCTTAAAACCTGTAACTTTAATATAATTCCATTCTTCACCTGATGAAGAGGATTGTTTTCTATGAAAGCATATGACGAACTAAATAAGTCTCACACACTAACACGACTATATATCTAAAAGCTGGGGAAGTGATGGCAAGCAGCAGAGGAAGAAAAACACTCATAGATACTATATATCAGTCATATAGGCCAAATTGATGAGAAAACATAAGTTCTTGTAATGACACCCTCTACCCCCAATTTTGGGAGCCCCCGGTGGCGCAGTGGGTTAAAGCACTGAGCTGCTGAGCTTGTTGATCGAAAGGTCGCAGGTTCGATTCCGGGGAGCGGTGTGAACTTCCGCTGTCAGCCCTAGCTTCTGCCAACCTAGCAGTTTGAAAACATGCAAATGTGAGTAGATCAATAGGTACCGCTCCGGCGGGAAGGTAACGGCGCTCCATGCAGTCATGCCGGCCACATGACCTTGGAGGTGTCTACGGACAACGCTGGCTCTTCGGCTTAGAAATGGAGATGAACACCACACCCCAGAGTCAGACATGACTGGACTTAATGTCAGGGGACTACCTTTACCTTTACCTTACCCCCAATTTAAAGACCTTAGTTTTGCTGATGCAGCCTGGAACTGCATCGGGGTGTTTTGTTTTGTTTTGTTGTTTTGTTTTGTTGAACTTGTGGTCTACCAAGAACTCTTTTCAGATATACCGCTGTGAAGCAAAGTGTTGCCCATTTTATATTTGTGCATCTAATCTTCCTCCTGATGAACTTCATTACATAAGTGAGCCCCTGACATGAGTCTCATATACAGAGAGAGGTGCAATTGCATTTGTTACTCCTCCTTCTACAGACTTTTTTTTTTTTGCATTGGCTCCGGAGAAAGTGGCTGAGATGCAGAAGGAAGAAGGGCCAGAAATAGTCCCCGCATCTGGCCCATGGGCCTTAGTTTGAGGATCCAGGCTCTAGGGCCACTTCGGGCCCTTCCACACAGCCATATAACCCAGAATATCAAGGCAGAATAACTCGCAATATCTGCTTTGAACTGGGTTATCTGAGTCCACACTGCCTTACATTCCAATTAAAAGCAGATAATGCAGGATTTTATTCAGCTGTGTGGAAGGGGCTTTCCTCTCTCTTGGCATTGTGTACATAATGGACAGCAATTCTAAGGCACACATTAGTCATGTATGACAGTTAAGCTCTGTGTGTTCTTGGAGGGGAAGCATATATTCATTGCCCAACTGATACAGTGTGTTGGGGAGGTCATAAATCCCCATGAATTTTCTGTTCCAGGAGATGGGTTTGGCAAAACACCAGCTTTGGAAGACGTGCAAAAAAAGGCTCAGGAAGGTCAGAGAACTCTTGAGCAAAATTGCATGTGATGGGTCTCTGGCAGTGATCTTGTACACAACCCAGGAACTCTGCATGGCTCTTGGCCAGTAAATGAGGCATGTGACATCAGCAAATAAACAAGTTATAGATGAGATTGTGCAGCTCTTCCTCCTGGTGCTGATCACTTCTGCAGGAATTAGTAAGGCAGTCAAAATTACTGGTAAGGTGTGGAAAAGGAGAACACATTACCACTCAATTACAAGGAATATAGAGAAGTATTTCTAACATACAGAATGTAAACTGATTTTACTGTTGAGGCGCTAATGATTGTTATACTGATGTTTAATTATTTATGTTACAATTGTTTTTAATTGTCCTATACTTGTCTCGTGATGTTTTGTATCGATGTTGTTCACCACTTTGAGTCGCCTAAGGGCTGAGAAAAGTGGTATATAAATAAAGTAAATAAATAAAGTAAATAAATAAATAAACATTTATTGAAATTAAATAGCTGAGATAGTTGACCTTGATTTGAACTGAGGCATTTTGTGTTGAGGGGTATTACAAGACATAGCTGATTTGTTTGGCATGGCACTGTGTATAGCTGAAACAGTGTTTTAACCCCTCCTCGTGTGTCACAACACATGGTTTTCATGAAATATGTAAGAAGCAATAATGTAAAGATGTATTCTCCCTTCCCTCCATCATCCTGACTCCCAGTTCAGCTAAAACTCATTTTAAGTTGTTGACTGTTCCTGTTGAATTCTTTAAAGAGCATTTGACAGGAACTCTCCAAAACCCCAAATTCCTGAAGCTTGACCCCCGCTTCCTTCCGCCACCCGGGGCAACAAAACAAAACAGGAAACTCTTGCCACAGAGAAGGAGGGTGAAAGCCACAGCAAGCAGGGTGAGCAGAGACCGCTTTCTCCCCACTGAAGTTCACCATTTGCCTCCTTGGTTGAACTGAAAAGTGCGGGAAGACTATAAACTCTGGCCCCTTCCACGCAGCTGCATAAAACCCACATTGAACTGGATTATATGACAATGTGGACTCAGATAATCCAGTTCAAAGCAGATATTGTGGATTATCTGCCTTGATATTCTGGATAATATGACTATGTGGGAGGGCACTCTCTCTTTTGCCTCAAAGTGTGCATTTCCACCACCTCCTGGAGAAAGGACAAAAGAGGGGCCAGGCTTTCATGTGTTATACCATCGTATAAATCAATTAAACTCACCATATATGGGAAAACCTGTGTGGCCCTCCTGCTGCCCAAGTACTTGATGGGTAACTTGAAGTTCCACACCGTGGTCCCTTCCTCCCTTTTCAATGGTTATTTATTTTGAAGTTGGACTTGGTCTTCAAACAGAAAAAGCCTCAAGAAGTATTGTCTAAAATGGGTCCATGTATGACCTAGAGCCATGATGGCAAACCTATGATACGTGTGTCAGCACTGACACACATAACCATTTTCAATGACACGCAGCCGCATGTGGCCGCATACAGAGAAGTATGGGGCAACATGCCGTGCAGTAGCCAAGGATGAAACATTTGCTGTACTGTAGTGTAGAGACTCTGTGCTGGAGGTCTGTAGGCCAAAACAGCAGAACTCTAGCACAGAACATACAGTTCTGGGACTTCCGGTTAGGCTGTTAGGTGATCTTTGACCTCAATTCTGGCCAGCGGAATGCCGCAGGAGACGCATCTCTGGGGCCCTGTGATCACCATTACCAGCAACCACATAACCACAGCAACCATCATCCAATCAACTGTTCTGGGGTGTCGTGGAATTCTAATTGACCATCATTACTGATTTTTTACTAATTTTCCCCTCCAGGTACTTTTGTGAGACCTTATTCTCAGCATTAAATAATATCAAGACCAACAAAAGAAAGAGATTGACGTATGAAGTTAGTAGAGCTTGCTTGGGCTTCTATAAAATACAAACCTTCAATTGAAGATTTAACCAATGAAGTTCAGCAACAAAAAACTCACTAATAGGCAGATTAGTTAAAAAATTCCCCCTCCTCCTCACTTATCTTAGTTCATGGCACTTCATGCTAGTTAAATAAGATTAAGACCAACAAAAGAAACCCACTGATAGATGAACAAAGAAGTCACTAAGCAGGTAAATTAAATAGTTTTTGGTTTATTAAATACAGTTATATATTATAATTATATTTTTTGTTATTTGAACTACAAATATCGCAAAATTATGGGGTTTTTTCCTGAAGTGACACCCCACCCAAGTTATGTTCTCTTCTTTTGGGTGAGTTTTGACACACCAAGCTCGTAAGGTTGCCCGTCACTGACATAGAGTTACCCTGCTTGGCTATAAAAGCCTGGAGAACGATATTCAGCTGAGTCACACCACAACTCTTCATTTATTTCCCAACAATGGATCAATTCCAAGAAGGAATTGATCCACTGTTGGGAAAGTACACACAGGGAGCAGCCTGATCCCACTCAGAACACAATGGACTTCTCCCTTGGAAAATTAAATCCATCCGTTTGGAATGGCCACCCATTGTGCCATCAAGGGAATCTTACCCTCTGGCAGCTGATGCCGATCTGCAAATATTGTTTACCCAAAGTAATTCCAGCCTGATGAACTATCCGTAGGCACCAATCACAGACTGTAAATCTTACCACCATGAATGTACTTTTGAACCAATAAGAATGTGGACTGTAATTTGCACCAATTACCTCAAATGCCTATTCTTTCAAATGTCCATGCTTATAACTGTGGGTTATGTGGGAAGCTTTCTCCTGACGTTGGTCAATGAAGCAATAGATGATCTTTGATCCTGCCTTCTATCACTGCTTGTCTCTATTGGAACTGATTGGTGTCAGCAAGCCGGGAAAGCAAACCAGAAGATTTTGGACAGCTTGCTCACAGTCCTTCAAATAAAATACCCATCCCGGCCTCATTAAGGCTTTCTTGATCAGTTGATCACACCTCCATTCTGGTTCCGAGTCAGCATCAGCATCACACTCCATTTGGATAACTCCCTCCACCATTTGCATGGTTATCTACATATCATAGCTTTAGGCTACATCCTGCCTCCTCCCTTTGTCCATCCTTAAAACTGACCTTGTTACCTCATCACCATACTCACCGATTTTACATTACTCTTCACACACACTGCCTGCCTATGAAGGTCTGTTCCAAGGCCATTCACGCACCTGAGGTATTAGACTCCAGAGACATCTACACCATAGAATCAATGCTGCTTGGTAGCACTCAAGCACACAATGGCTCAATGTTACAGAAACCTGGGAGAGGGAGTTTTACCTTTGCCTTATCTGCCAAAGTATATTGATGCCTCACCAAACTAAAAATTGGGTGAGCATGAAATGAAAGTACTGTCTGAAATTGTCCTGAGTATGCTTCTAGGCCAGGCATCCTTAAACTGCAGCCCTCCAGCTGTTTGAGTCTCCAGCTCCCCGAAGCCCTACCCATCTTATTCAATGGTCAAGAATTCAGGGAGTTACAAACAGCTGGAGGGACGCAGATTGAGGGTGCCTGTTCTAGCCTGAGGACTCCTACTGCTTGTAACTGAATGTCATTCTGCAGCAAAAGTGACATTTTTTCTGAACAGGTTTTACCTAGCAATATAATCAATCAAATCTTATAGTGTGGTGATATTGTTGTTGAACAATTTGGAATGTCTGTGGATAGTGAGATCCAAGCCACTGTGGGTTTAGCCTGGTGAGAAAAAAAGAAGGCAATATCCCAGAATAAATCTCACCAAGTTGAAGCAGAAGGCCACCGAGATATTTATTTCTGCTCCAGCTGGAAAAGGATAACGGCTGCAGTCATCTGCCGAGGAGCTGCCATGCCCAGTTACAGAAAGCAAGACATTATATACAGATTTTCCATTCAAATCTCCCGTGCCCCTCCGGACCACTTCGCAGTGATTGGTTCAGATGTCAGCGAACCAGGAGGAGTGGCTGGAGACTGGCTCATCCAATGAGATCCCGAGCCCCGCTTTGGCCGCTCAGCCAATGGTGTACAAGGAGTCATGGCAGCAGTAGATACAAAGAGAAATAGTTGTTTGGTGATGGATTATGAGTGGCCCTTCCTGGACCCTATTGATAGGCGATCAAGACAATTGCTGTGAGCCCTCAAGCCCGACCTATCTATTGACTTGTTGTTGTTGTTGTTCATTCGTTCAGTCGTCTCCGACTCTTCGTGACCTCATGGACCAGCCCACGCCAGAGCTCCCTGTCGGCCGTCACCACCCCCAGCTCCTTCAAGGTCAGTCCAGTCACTTCAAGGATGCCATCCATCCATCTTGCCCTTGGTCGGCCCCTCTTCCTTTTGCCTTCCACTTTCCCCAGCATAATTTCCCTTCTTTCTTCTCATGATGTGGACAAATTACATCAACTGTGTCTCGCGTAATCTTCCTCAGTGCGCAGCGGGCTTTCCATTTACGGAGGAGGGAAGGTCGATATCTCGAATTCAATGCACCCCAGACTTTCCTCCAACACACAGTCAAAAGTCATCGATTTCCTCCTTCGCTCAGCCTCCTAAGGTCCGCTATCACTCGCGAGTGACTACAGGTTCTCTCCCTTTCT